CTTTGCGGGTGTTTTAGCAATGGTAATTCTACCCATTATCCGTTGTAGGGTATGATTAATTTAAATTACTAATAAAATGTAAGAATTCTTTCATTTGCATAGATGTTTTTAAATGACAAGTATCTCTCATTTTTTTGTTTTATTCTTCTGCTTTCCGCTTTTAAACATAATTTCCTATGTCATTATTGAATGGGAGTTCAATTTTTGTTTTATAATCGCCGTTGAACATATAACAGGATAATATTTCCAGTTAGATTATAAGTATGGAAATCAGTTATTACGTCGTCTAAGTTGTTTTGAAACGCATATTCAGATCGAATTTTGTTGTAACTGCGCTACCTCCGCCGTTACTTCGTAGCAGTCTTCCTCAGTGGTGTTGATCATTGCAGTGATTAAAGGATTAGTTTTTCGATATATTCTCGCTGGTACGTCTGTTGCGCAGTAATGCTGTTACGCCATCGATGAAAGTAAATAATGAAGCATTAAAACTTATTTTTCTATGAGGTGGTGTACAAAAATGTGGAAGTTTCCATAATAGAATGAATGCTGTTTCTTTTTTTGCGGTTAAACGGAGCTTTTAACAGAAAAGTTGCTCAGATTACTGATTTGTAATTAAGCTCAGGCGGTAGAACTATATCTTTTATATGAATATATTTTGCGTTAACGACTGACTCGTATTTGTCACCCTTCTCTTTTTATGCACTCATGAGGATGTACCGTAATTGCGTTAGAATTTTAAAGCAATGTGCAGATTTTTCAAATTCACAAGCTTCACAAAGGGTAACCGATATTCGCGGAGGGTTTTTCAATGATAGGCAACATATGGGGTGAAATCAGGTAATTGATACAGTTAACGATATTCCAGTGATATAGATTCAGGTTCACGACCGCAGGATTACGTGCCGACTTAGTTCCTTCGTACGGTAACCACAAAAGGATCTAAATTATAAATTTAGTTTTGATAACGGCATCATTCTTCAATCAAGGGAACGTTCCATTAAGATATATCACACATCTATTAACATATAATCAGATATTTGATGTAGATGATAACCGTTCATTTACACAGAACCATACGGGCTACGGCAGCGTCAAGGTTTGGCAGCAACCATCGACTTGCTCCCAAACACTGTGCACTGAAACATCATAAAGCGCCATTTACGTCATTACATAGTTGATACCTATACAAACTCGCATCGAACCCTCTGAAGTGGGGACTACGCTCATTCTTATCATTTTGTCGTTTGTGCAGAACAGTCTGTCATATAAATCTAAACGCAGACTGTACAAACTTAAAGTTGAATTTTGCGGAGATAGAGTAATGGATGGTTATGCTAAACGAATCTTCACAATCGCTTATAATCCATTGATTCCTTTCCATTGACGAGAACGACGTTATTTTTGTTGCTGGCATTAGTCATTTAAATGAGATGGTACGTAAGATTGACTACTTTTTTTCGATCATACATAGTGCAGCTGCTTTGTCGCCTATGTTTCAATGTGACGACGTTAGGCTCAGCTGAACCCTAATATATTTTCAGGTCAGATGAGTTCACTCGTTGCTGCTGACCCTTGATAACTATGCAGCTATGTTCCAGCGAAAATTGCGGGCGCTGAATTACTGTTTAGCCGATGATTTCAACTACACAGGTTATCCTTGTGTTGAACGTGCATACGTGATGACGTTTCATATTTCTTTTCAGACGAGTCGCATTTCCGAAGTTTCATCTTATGGTTAGAGGACCAGAAAATTCGACTGTACAAAATCGAAGACCGCAAGCCATTGCGGGAGATCGACAGCGAAAAATGGAACAACGCCTTCTGCAAGGTGTAAACCACGTTGTTTTCTTGTTAACGTAGTACACGTTAATATTTGACCTTTTTATGTTGCAAAATATCTGCTTATGATTTGACACCAACGTATTCGTTTGTTACATCGTTGTCAATTCTCTGTTATTTGCCAGCGTCTAAAAGTTCATGCAGTCTTCTCTTTTCATCCATTCATCCATCAGTCTTACCTTTAATTTATTCATTCGTCCATCATTCAATCGATTAATTAATTCATTCATCTGTCGATTGATTCATGCATTCATTTATAGCTGTTCGTTTATCCTAGCTAATAACTTCTTTCATACATTGATCTATTAATTCGTTTATTGACTCATTCATTTAACTCGAACTAACGACTCCAAAGCCTTAAATTTTTTTTTTAAATTTGTATTTGCACCTTACACTGATTTTAGTCATTTATCAGGAGCATCAAGGCGAATTGCAGCAGCACGCATTAGACAGGATGACCGTACACTCGTACACTTTAAAACACCGTGTTGCCCTTATCACTGGCACGTCAGCGACCTGCTGTTGGTGTTTCAGCGGCTTGCACCGAATTGCAATGAACTGAATTCCTTGCTCTGTTGAATTGTCAGTTGACAAAGGAAAATTCGCAGCGCATGGGTTTGAACCCAGCACCTCTAAAGTGTATGACATGCCACTTACAAACTGCGCCACTGCTCCCTGCAAACGGTAACAGGACTGGAATATGATTCTTTTTCACGTTGTAAATATTATACGGTAGCTAAGCTGTAGCAGTTTCGTTCATAGCTTTATTTGTGTAATTTTCACTGAAATTTAGTTTTATTCAGTTTGTGCATAATTTATTTCTTAGTTGTTTAAAATCAGTTTTCTTTCTGAATATGCTCAAAGCAGTGATCTTTCAACTTCAGCTTTTATTCATATACTTGTTCATCCGTTCGTGTCTCCGTCTCTTTATTAATGCGTCTTCGTTTGTACATTTACTTGACCGGTGTTAATATTACCCGTTCTTTTATGTTCGTTATAATGTTTTCCATCTACCATCTTCCCTGCTCATTCATACCTCCATTTTTCAATCAGTTCAGTTTATTAATTAATTCCTCTATTCACTCACTCGTTAGTTTATCCATCCATTCAGCAGTCCATCTACCTATTCACACATTCTTCCTCTCATCCATTCACTCATGTATCATTTATTCATTCGCTCTCATCTCTTCATTCATTTTCCCGTCTACCCATTTATTCATTCATGTTCTCATTTGTTTATGCTCATTTTCACAGGCAGGACCTCCTGGAAAGGGACCTCAGAAATAATTTTCATTGACACCGCCAGGTACTAAGCTCAGTGGAGTAGATTTCAAGATCAAACATTGCCATTTGTTCAGTTCGCTCGAGCCATTTTTGTGACTATTTGTATTCCTCGTATATCTTGCTAATTTCTCCTCTGGCATTATTGTAACCATTTCAGATTTACGTTCTGAGCTTGAGAAAAACTTCATGTGATATAGACGGAACCGGGCTACGTTGTTCTCTTCTACTAAATATTTCATTCCGCTGTTATAAATTTAAGATTTAGTTATTAATTATTTATTTCAGATTTAGTTCGTAATGTCTATTGTTTCATTCCCATCTGGAGGTAAGCACTAAAATTATGAACAAGAGAAAAGCATAAATGATTCTGGGCCCGTAGTTATATGGATAGATGTTTTAGTAGTTTATGGTTCAGGGCCCCAAATACAGCAGATAATAAAGCAGTTTATTGACGACTCGTTTCGCTACTTAGATCGTAGCATCATCAGGGCTAGGCTAATTGCAAGCGACAGCTTGAAGACACTTGTCCAACAAGCGAACAGTACTTTACGATCAATGTATATTATTGCCCAATCTGAATGTTGGCCAACAGACAGTGAAAAATTTGTTTTCATTAAGACAACCGCATCATTATTTTGTTAACGCGATTTTTCGAATCAGTTTTAGGATCGTCCCTCAGCTTTCATTTCATAGCCACAGAAATAGTGTATTCATTGCACATCCAGGGAAAAGCATCGCTGAAGAAATGGCAACATATCCTTCTTTCTAAGGTCTCAGTTTAAAAGTTTAAATCTGTTTATGTTTGTTTGGATGGCGATGTTGCAATAAGAACATCATAGATTGAATATCCATTCAAGGTTTGATGAAGCGACTGTATTGCTCATATACAGAGTTTATTTTTCCTGATCAAAATCAGCTTTGATGACTATACAACATCAAAATGGCTCTGCTAAACTTGTCTGCCTTTCGAGTTCATCGTATTTGTTTTGAGCAAATAGTTCTCTCAGGGGTTACCAGAGGCTTATCCAAAAGCATCAGCGTTCGTCGAAGCCAAGTTTATCATCTCATTGTTATTCATCTGGGTTATTTGCCTGTAGTAATTTATTGAAAAGGCAAAGTTAATCAGGCGATGATGATAGAGTTGGTTTGTCAGCGTCAGCTAACGGTACGAATAAGTCGTTTCTTATAAAATGATTTCATTGCTTCCTATTTATTCCTTGGCTTTAGTATTTGGCTGATCTGAAATGCCCGTACGCGCCGGACACACAAAGGCCAGAGCTCATTGACTGGTTACTGGGCGCAGCGGTTCGTTATGAATATCTCGATCACGGTAAGCATATTACTATTTTATGTATACATAAGTTTTTCATTTAATGTTATTTCATATACTCCGCTAAGGATGATCCAGCCCCCTATCTCGTTTGTATTGACAAATATAAGATAGTCTGGCGTAGCCAGGACGACGAATGTATCAACGTAATAGATGTGAAGACGTGGAGATTTTTGTTTACAAACGACCTTGTTTTGTTCGCATCTTTTGATATCCAGCTCTCTATGGAAAGGTTCGCAGCCGAGTGCTACATGGTTGGCATGTGTGTCTAAAATGAACTTGCCTAAAATGAAAAGCCCAGTGGTTTCTCGTTCTCA